AAAAAAAAAAACTAAGCCAGAGTCAAGAGCTCCATTCCAGGGCTACGTAAATATGGTTAAAAAGCTAGTTTAGAACTGAAAGACACACTAAATTCCAAGGAGTGAAGTCTTAATCTGTCTTAAGACTCGTTTTAGAGACATGAAAATTTTAAGCGGTTAAGTGATATCTTTCTTTTTCAGCATTAGGGACAATTTCAAACATGCAAAAGTATAGGGAAAATAATATCATAAACCTCATGTTACTATCACTTAGCTTCAATAAACTATCAAAAACTGGTGAATGTTTCCCTCACTACCACTGGAATTTTAAAAGTAAATCCCAATGTTAGGGCGTTGGTGCCCCAGCAATCTCCAAATTATTTTTATAGTCTCATTATGAAGTTTCTGGATTTAAAAATACTTTGTTTTAAACAACTGTACCCATTAGTCTTTCTTAGGCTCTAACTGTCTATCCTAGGCCAATGATAGCCCCTTCATTCTTGCTTCTTTGTCCACCCTTATATGACCCTAGTGGTCTTTGATAGGTTCTTAATTTTTGATATCATATGATGCTATAGTGCAGTGCTTTTCAAAATGTGGTCTCTGGTCCAGGAATGTTATCATCACCTAGAAACTTGTTAGAAATGCAAATTCTTGGGGCTTTCCCCAAACTTACTGAATCAAAACCTCTAGGGACAGGAGAAAGCAATCTATTTTTCTAATAGCCCTCCATGTAACTCCAATGCACCCAAGTTTGAGAACCACTAATTTAGGTTTACCTTGTACATTTCTCGCTCCAAACCTGGAATGAGTCATTTCTCCAAGAATTTCTAACTTCTTTTATTTCTATTTAATTTATTTTAAAGACAGGGTCTTGCCCTGTCACATATGGAATATGTGACATAATCACATACTCCTGGAGTACAGTGGCATAATCATAGCTCACTGCAACCCTGACTCTAGGGCTAAAGTATTTCTCCAACCTCAGCCTCTAAAGTAGCTGGAACCATCCTGCCAGGCTAATTTCTTAAATCTTTTTTAGAGGCAGGGTTTCACTATGTTGTCTAGGTTGGTCTTGAACTCCTGGTCTCAAGTGATCTTCCACCTCACCTCCCGAGTCACTAGGATTAGTATGAGCCACAATGCCTGGCTATATTTCTTAATTATGTTGTTATAAATGACAACCCAGTGGTGGTGAGTATCCCTAATACCCAGATTGTGATCTTTATGATTCATGGGGCCAGGCACAGTGGCTCACACCTATAATCCTAGCACTGTGGGAAGCTGACGCAGGAGGATTACGTGAGGCCAGGAGTTCGAGACCAACCTAAGGCAACATAGTGAGACCTCATCTCTACAAAAAAATCTAAAGATTTACAAGCCTGAAGTCCCAGTTACTTGGGAGGCTGAGGCAGGAGGATCACACCACTGCACTCCAGCCTTGGTGACAGAGTGAGACTGTCTCTAAAGTAAGTAAGTAGTAAGCAAATAAATAAATACATAAATAAAAAGAAATATACTCAAGTAACTGAGTAGTTAGTAAAAGAACTGATATCAGATCCTAAGTATCCTAACTTGTAGTCCAGTGCTCTTTTCACTGTATTTGAATGAATTACATCTCTGTGTAACTTGCACATGGACATCAGCTATCTTTTTCATAACTTTGTTATCTATCATTTAGCTAGACACCTTGGAGAAGTCAGTCATTCACTCTAAATTAGTTTTCCCTATATGTAAAATATAAATAAATAATATAATCTATCTTATCGATCTTTTAGTTTACATAAACAGGAAATAGGAGATTACATATGAAAGCACATTAACAACTGACAGAGGATTAGAAGAGTATCTTCGGTTTATAAAGACAGACGGCTAAGAGAAAACATATTAAATGGCAGCCAGGAGAAGAGAAGACAAATGAAACTGTTAAAGTGCTAACATAAAGACGGGCTTGCCTTATCACAAAATAAATATTTTCTATAATTAAAAAACAATGTGGCCATAGTTCAAGAAGAGATGTTAAATTGAAATCTTAGACTAATCATCAATTTCATAAAATACAAAGACATCAATTAAAGTTTGTGAGCAACGAAATAATTTCCTATAAACATTCTAGTGAAGTTAGCAATAAAGAAAAAATATCCTCACCATACAAATACCATAGAATGAATTAAATTAAAAAGTAAAGGTAAAAATATGAAAGCACAGAACAACTTAAAAGTATTTATGTGTAAATTTACACTCTCAAAATGGGGATAAACTAAGCAAAAAATCCATGGGAGGAAAAGCTAACATGGAAGAGAGATTTAAATTATATTTAAAAACAAAAGAAAATTCAAGACATGAAAAAACAATGTCACTGGTAATCAGAGAAACATAAATTAACACAAAATGAAATATTTTGCACTCATCAGATTTGTATTTTGTTAAAAAAAAAAAAAGGAGGAAGAACAGAAAGATGAGAACATTACCAATATTAACTGCTATTGGCAAGGATGAGGAAAACTTGGTATGCTGCTTTTTACACGATTTGATGCATTTGAGTAAATTTATACTTTTTCTATAATCAGTAAAAGTTACATAAAAGAGAGATAAGAAAAAGAAGTAAAAAGTAGAGTCTTCTTCATGTTTTAAATGAATTTGCTGTAAGGCCTCAAAATGACTTCTAGACAGTAACTCCTCCAAATCTGTCTAGTAAAGATTCTAATTGCGGCATACACATGGTATCAGACCCAATTAGAAATTGTTAACTAGAGAAAAACAATCTGTCAGTGGCTTAGCAGTCTTAGCAAGAGTTTCAGAGACTCCAGCATGTTTTTGGTATTCTTCCCTATAATCTAAACCTTCATTCTCAAGTATTATCATCAAGACAAAGAGGATAGTCTACAGATTCAGAAAGTCCCAGTTAAAATCATGGCTGAGCTACTTAGAAGTCATTTGTAAATATGTAAGTAATGCAATGTCTCTGAATTTATTTCCTCAGGTGCAAAATGTACACAATACCACCTTCTCCATTTGAATTACTGTGCAGGTTAGAACAAAATGAATGACAAGAGCCTAGTTTCAAATACTGAGAACCTAACTGGCACTTATAATATGGTAGCTGCTACTGCTGCTATTGAGCCTCATTTAATTAATGTGTGAATAATTGGGTTTACATATCAATTATCACTCCACTGAAGTGAAAAAATATAGTTTATAAGTTACATCCTGTATGACTGTAAAATATTCTTGCTAAATTGAATATTTTAAAAAAGGAAAGGAAGGAAAGATAGAGGGAGGTTAGAGAGGTAGAAGGAAAAGAGAAAGGAAGAATAGAAAAAAGGAAAAAAGACACAAACTAAGATTAGCAATCCATTTTAATGAATGGAACTGGCCGAGAGTTCTACTGACAACCCTGAAGCCTAATATAACCCACTCATTAAACTGTCATTGAACTTACCAATTACGTGTGATCAACTTGAAGCAAGATGAACTTTCTCCTATGCTGAGGTGTCCTCATAAAGCTGTGGAATAAAACTTGCATTTTCTATTTAAAGCCATTCCTTCATTGCTAAACAGTTGGTCTGAGAGGAAGGCAGCAAGCAGGGTTAGAGGAAAAAGAGGAGGATAAAGATGAAGAGGAAAACAACATGCGATTACGGATCACATCTCTTCACCCGATCCTTTCAGATTCTCCTCATGTTCTAACCTGTAGCTGCTGAGAGCTGTCGTTGAGATTGTCCTCCCGTCGTCGAGCCTCCTCTAGCATTTGTGCACTCTTCTTTTTTTCCACCTGTTCCTTATGCTTCAGATTTGCTACCTTCTTATTCTGGTCTTTCACTTGCCTAATGACAGAAGGAGAAAGATGAAGCTTTGTATATGTATTTAGAAACTTATACCAGTGACAATAAGGAATCACTGAAAACCAACAAATAAATATATGCTGCAAATTTTCTCAATAATTCCAAATTCTTTTCCATCAATGGTAGCACATTTGTTCACAAAAATGTTTTCCCCTAAAGAATATGTATTTCAGCATGTACTCTATAAAGAACAATGAAATCATAAAACAAAAGAAAGCCATGGGATAATTTGAAATGACTAAAAAGAAACTGAATCAGAGACTTTGGAAATATGGAAGCAGTCTCCTGACGTCAATGTGCTGAAATATTAGAATGGCTGATAGAAAAAGAAAGTTTTGTACAACAACTCTAATTTTACCATTATTAAATATTTCAAACATTCAACACAAATGTAGATGTATATAAAATAATGATATAAAAATCTAGAAACCTAGCTTAAGAAATGGAACGTTGTATTTACTTCTGAAGCTCCCTATTGTGTCTCTCTCTACTATTGGTCTATCCTCCATTAGTAAGAACAACCTATATCTCAAAATTTTATGTTTAAACCCCTGTTGCTTTTATTATTGTTTTGCTACATATATATATGTGCGTGTGTATGTGTGTGTGTGTGTGTATATATATATACTGTTCATTTATAGTTCATATGTTTTTGAGCTTTATAAAGTTTACTGATTATTCCTTTAGTACAGAATGATATTCAATATTATTTCTTTTCAATATGTTTCGAGACTTAGACCATTCAAAGTGTAATGTATCTTTTAATCCTCTCCACTTTCACTGAAGTAAGAAATAACATATGGCAATTATTTTAATCTACTCCCCAGAAGATGACAATTGGGTTGTCACCATTTTCTTGCTATTTTAAGTAACACTGCTAGGTACACTCTGATACACCTGTGAAAGAACATCTCCAATGTGTGGGCCTAGGGACTAAATTGCTAGGACATACAGCAGTTACACCTTATTTTATTTTCCAAATAAGCTATATTAATTTATACTCTTGCTAGCAGTGCATACAGTGCCCATTATACCTCTTCACATCCACTAATGCATGGTACTGACTTTCTAAATGTTTCCAATCTCGCAGAAAAAAAAAACAGTATCTCATTATAGTTTTTAAAT